ATAGCTCACGTTTTTATACACGCAAACCTTTGATAGATCCGGCCCATGATAGGGCCAGCATCATGATGGTGGGAGTGCTGGCCTGGTGGTTAGAGCAGTGCCCTTGTGCTCTGAGAAGGTTGCAAGGACCTGGTTTAATCCCCACAGCCTTCACTTTGGGTCCCTGAGCAAGCCCCTTTACTCCTGATTGCTCCCCAGTACCCGAACAGTGGCAGCTCACTGCTCCCCATGGAGATGGGTCAAATACAGAGGTGAATTTCTCCATTGTTAGATCAATAACGTTCAATTCTTATTATTTATGGGGATGCTTTTCAGGACTAAAAAGCTTGTCTCAGTTATCTTATAATGGACCTAGAAACCATAATTTAAAAAGAAAAAGACTAACCTGCAAGGCAATGACTGCTGCAACTGCATAGTTTTAGTCAAATCACATTTCTGCTGCAGAAGGGTTCAGTAAAAGGCCTGGACTAAATCCGATTGGGAATTTTTGCTCAAAATTAAAAAAAATGGATCTTAAAGCACTATGTGAAAACTAAAGATCTGATCTTTGTCCAATCTGACTGAACAACAGTTTTTTTTACACCAGAGAATGGGTAGATATACAAAGCTGGTAGATACACGAGCTCAAAGGTTTTTTAGATGAAAGAAAAAGGTGGTGGTACATTGAACTCAATGTATGTCACACCTTGGTTTTTAAAACCTTACAAATTTTTTCCTTTTAATTTACCTTGTTTCACTATCTACTGGTCTGATCACATCAAATTCCTACAGGACACATAAATTCATGAGGAAAGATATGGTATTACTAATTTTGTAAAGCCCTTTTGGTCAAAATAAAAATAAAAATAGAAAAAAACTTCCTGACTTTAGCTGCCTAGAGAGTTATTTGTTTTTAATGTGTTTTTTTGTGTGTCAGTTCTAGGCTGATAGACGCATAGTTTTTCTAAAGGCCACTTGTGGACAAAGAAACTGCATAACAAAGAGGCCTTCCTTATGAAGGAAAACTGAAGCTTTGAAAAAGGGACAATTTCCCCCAATTACTCCTGTGGCACCTGGGATTTTTAGATAATGAGCAAGGGTTCTGCACTCTGTCATTACTGCCAATATATCAGGCTGCTGGAAATAATCAGCGCCAGGCCTGTTGAAATTTGGAGGAAGCTTGTCTAATCAAGCCTCCACAGACATGCTAAACAATGCAGATACTCTTCGACGGAGATGAAATCCTCAAACGTCAGAAAGCAGGAGGAAAGGATTGAGTTTGCATAATGGCTTCCGCATGCTTTTGTCTCTCTGAAAAAAGGTGACTCACGTGACATGAGGTCTGTTACCTGAGATTGCTTTCTGCTAGGTATGACTGAATGGAATATGAAATGCGCTTGGGTTAGATACAAGGCTGTTTTGTACCCTCTTTGCCCATTCATTGCTTTCAAGCTGTGCCTTTTATTATTTCTGCCTCTTTTTCAGCACTGGCTTTGTCCATAAAGCCTCTTTGATGCATTTTATCCGAAGCACTTTAACCCTGCATGGAGTTTATCTGGCAGAGAATGAGGCTGCAGCAGAACGAAGGGCAAAAAAAATGCACTTCAAAGTCTGAAATACCATTATTTTAGTGTTGCTTCAACTTGAGTCAACCTGATAATGAAATTACTGTGACAATGTCTAAAATTTCTAGAGCTTTTTTTTGTATTTCTGCTTTCATTTGGGTCAGAACTGAGCGTTTCTTTTGCTTCAACTTAAAAAAAGAAATTAAAGATTCAGTGTCTCACAAAGTGATATTAATTAAACCATTCTGGGGTTATAATAAAGGCAACTTTGAGGTTTGTGCCAACAATCACACGACTCGAGATGCTTTCATCAGCCCCCTGCGTCTGCTCCCTCCGCATGTCAGCCAGCTGCTCTCTGGCAAAAAACGTGTTGGTGAAACTGCTCCACCGTCAGAATGCAGAGGTTCCAAAAGCAATCATGGAGAAGGAGGAAGGGGATTTAACCGTTTAAGCTGGCTTCATCTCTAATGTCGCGAAACTGCCAGCCTTTAGGTGAACAGTAAGCAAAGAAGTTTCATTCTGCTGCTGCATCAGTAAAAGAAACATGTTTAGATGTTCTATTTGAATGCAGAAGTATAACTTAATGCCTTATTAAATCTGCTGCACCTGGTGTAAATGTAATGCTTAGAATAAAATGTGGACACGATTTAAGTTTCAAGGCTTTCAAATATTAAGTGTACTTATTGTAAATGAACTGTCACTGTTAAAACAGTTAAGGTAGAAACTAGCAGTGTGATAGGCTTTTTGCAATAAGAATGACAAGAAAACATATTACAGTCAGAATACCATAAGGGTAAATAAGAAGACAAAGCAATTCAAATAAGGTTTAAACTTGTTTCTAAACATGGAAGGTTGCACTGTTACATCTGGAAACAATTAACAATTAAATGATTACTCTGAGCATGTAGGTAATCAGAATAGATTGGTATGCTGTGTGATGTATCCTTGTTTTGTCTGAATAAATATCCCCATGTCATGATGCTGCCTCTACCATGTTTTCAGTGGGACGGTAGCAGTCAGGTTTATGTTTAGCATTAGTTTAAAGCCTAACAGTGTTTCATGTGTCAAAGGTATAAATATTGGTCTCATCTGACTAGAGGATCAAATAAAGGCTTGTTATCTTGACAATCTTCTTTTAAGCCAGATTTGGCTAAAGATAACTTTTTGAATCGTTTTTTTTTTATTCATGCACAGTTTTCCATTTTATACCTTTAACTGTTATAGTCCAGATCAGAGGTGTCCAACTTCAGTCCTCCAGATCTATCGTCCTGCGACACAACTAATGAGCGATTCTCTCTTCTGCATGCCCTGAAGTCTGGTCAAAGGCCTGGTTTTACTGCAGTAGGGATGCACCTGAATGTTGCAGGGCAGTAGATTAGCTTGATAGCTAATCCCCTGGACTAGAACTTTCTCAGCAGTTTCGTTTCTAACCTACATCTTGTTTAAAAATGGTCTGTAACACAAGGACACTATTTTTTTCCATTCAATAACCAATATCATTTTGCTGTAATACTGGCAGCAGTGTTTGATGTCAAATGAACCTCAATCATCATACTACTACTCTTATACATACTACTACTACATACTACTTCTCTCATTGACGTTCTCCTTTAGTTTAGGTGGATGGATGCTTCTTGGTCAATTTGCTGTATCTCTTTAGACTGAGCAGGGCTCTTCTCCCTGTCCTGTTTGCTGTACACCTTTCTGATGCTGTGTGACGCTCAATGTTCTAAAATGAACCTCTGCAAAAAAAAAAAAAAAATCTCAAAGATTAACCACTGAACCATTAGTTTCCCTATAACTTCACACACTTCTTTAGGTAGCAGCACTGCTTTTGCAGCCCTGAGCCCTTCCTGTCTCTGAAGGCTCATCCTTTCTCCACTGATGCAACAAGTGACACTGATGTTTGTGAGGAAATTAGAAAAGGTCAGTAAAGCTCCTGTTTCTGCAATAGACAAGTGGTGGATTTGCAGAAGGACATAACCTAACATTTTCTGTTTAAATATTAACTTCATGGACAGAAACAGACGGTTGAGCTCTGCCCTCAAAATGCACTTCCCATGTGCGCTGCTCTACCAGCTATGCTGCGTTTCACTGTGGGACAAATGGATGCTGGGAAAATATTAATTATCTGAGGGCTTCAAAAAAAAGTGAAAACATGAAACATCTCTCTCTGTTTAGTTGCAAAGGGATTGGAGACTAATGTAGCGAACAATAACATAATTAAAAATGATGCAGTTAGACTGAAACTGACAACTATAGCATAGCAAAGCAACACCATTTTGTAGTTGAAGAAAACAGGGAAAATACCATTTAAAACAAATTCAAACCAAGCTGCTGCTGGGGAAAAAAAGCATCTGTCACGATGTCATGATGTCGATAACAGGTTTTGTATGAGCCACATTCATGTTTTCTTTAAAATACTAATTTAGTGCAGAAGGATCCTTAATATGTCTTGTAATAAATGTCATTTATGTGAACATTTAGCTTGGAGGAAAATTGAAGCACAAATTAGCAGAGTAAAATGGAAGAGGCTAAGGTCCACTGAAAAAATAAAAAAAGTTAACTGATTTTTAAATTTTATTTCAGTTTAATATGGGACTTTTTTTTTTACCATATTAAACTGAAATAAAAAAAAAATCTGTGCTCTCTTATGGAGGTTTCTTGCTGTTAAAAGGGAGTTTTTCTCTCCACTGTCACTACAAGCATGCTTGGTGTGAGGGATTGCTCTTGAGTCAATAAGTCGATACAATCAACTTTTTTTTTGTTACTTAGAAAACTTTAAACGAATCTCACTGTATAATCTGGGTGACTCGTCTTTGTAAAGTGCCTTGAGAGGATGTGTTGTAATTGGTGCTATTACCGTAGAATAAACTTAATTGAATCTACTGTTTTAAAGGGAAGTAAGACTTATTTTTACACAATAAAAATACATATTTTACTTTTTTCTGAATGAGTGGCAAACTGTCTCCTAAATCTATTTTTTTTGTAATTAAGAAAGTTTCTTCCTGTGTGTTGAAAGAATACTATGGATTAAACAATTGTTAAGCGTTTTTCTTAATGTCTGCATCAACTTTGACATTTTAAGAGCCCTACTTGTGAAGGCAAATAAAACACCTGCTTTTAGTTTGTGGTCAAACCAATGAAAGCGGGATGAATACACATGACATACATTACCCTCCACCTCTAAATTATAAAGTGATTTTTGTTGGTCTAAAACCCTAACACACAGCAAAGAACTGCATCATGCAACCAGGCAACCATAAGGATCGATAAAAAGTGGTGGTGGTTTGATAATAGCGCTACATTTTCAAACAATGCTCTATCTCCCCTAAATGTTGAGAGACTTCACTATAGTAACCAGTTATGGCAGGCATTTCTCTCCCTAAATAAAGCTTCCTCTTAATGGATGTGTGTGAGGCTGCAGTCAGAAATAATGTGACATCAAAGCACACATTATACTCATAATCCCAACTTTAATCATTCTGCACCATGATGCCTCTACGTCCCCATTTAATACATTCAGTATATACATTTGGCCATGGGGGACTTTACAGAGATGCGTTACATTAGTGCATACATACGTGGCACGAAAATGTACACAAGGAAAACTCAGACATGCCACGTTTCCACGATAAAGCAATAACACGAGAGAAGACCTGGGGCAAGTCAATGGCTGATGTAGTCGTGCATACACACACACACTCACACTCACACATACTCAGTTAACAGCTGTATGCATGCACAACAGCTTTTCAACACACACACAACCTTTAAGACACTTCTGATGGAGAGAGGGGCTCTTTTAGGTCGCCATAATAGAAATACAAGGATGTCGAGAATGTCTGTGCTGACTGCAGCAAATTCTTCCCCTTCTTCACACCCTTCCCTTTGACTCCTTGTACTCTTCCCCAACATGTCTCCAATTTCCTTTTCTCCCCAAAGCTAAGGCCTCTCAGCAGGCAGTGCGGCCATCATACATGGGCTCTTTCCTTTAGTAGAGTAGTACTCATCAGCAGCAGGAACTAAATAAAGAGCCGCTCCTGGCATTATCAGATCTACTAAACCCTGAACATTCGCGACAAAAAAGGACTCATGATACATAGTTTATTTCAAAATTAGCATTCTATCTTCAGATATCTTATCTCAATAAAACACAGGTCCACAATGACGACATACTGTTCCTCGTTAAAGCACAAAGAGGCGCCCTCAGATTGCACTGTTCGGCCGACAGCACGGTCTGTCTGCTCACTTCCTGCACTTCTCATCAGGAAACGTCATCTTCTTCTCCTGCTGGGCGTATTGTACCATCATAAACTTTTTACCGAGGCACAAACTCCTCCCAGTTTCCCACTTAAACGACTGCATTTTACAATTGCATAGCAGACAGCGGGATTTATAGCGTAAGCCAAAATGAGTTCCACTCTAAAAATAGTTTCCGATCTCTTGGTTGGTAAAGCACCGTGATTTTTAAGTTACGAGCCGTGCGTTGGGCAGTCACAATAGACTGCTTTAATGATTTCACGCTTTAAACATATCCACTTGTTTTATTTGTCATAAGAAAGATTACTGGCTTGGGAGAAAACTGCAGGACGGGCCCAAGAAGCAAACAGTGCTGCACTGAGGTGTGAAACATACAGAGAGGAAAGCAAATAAAACACCTTTTAAGTCTTTTCTTCTTGGATTTAGCAGTGAAAAAATGAGTTAGTATTCAAAGAAGTCTTAGCACAAGCAGTAAGCAGAAAACAGGAGTGTTAGCCTGTCTGTGAACACATTCAAAGAGTATACAGGAACAAAGTGTTAGACATTTGGAGGTTTGTATGCAAAGTGAAGCATGGTGGGTTGAAGGTAGGTGTTAATCTGTTTAGGACAGGCAGCTCTGCATTGATGTGTTGGCTGGGTGGATGAATGGTTGGGTGGAGGGCTGCTTGACAACCTCGTTGAACTTCTGTCTCAAGAGTCAAGTAAGCGCTTAGCAGAACAGGAGACAACAAAACAGAAAAAGAAACAGAGCAAAAGTCCCTAAAAATCCCATCACAGCAGAACGGAGAGGGCCAACTGGCTGTGGGTAGAAAAAGCTCTCTAATAATTACCCAGAATAAATAACAGTCACAGAACAATCGCTAAAGGCGGAATCGGGAAATTAGCTAATCTGAGCGGACTGAATTGACCCCATGCATTATAAGGCATTAAGCAAACAGTTGTAACTGACATCACATAGTATTAATAACAGTGACTATACATACAGTTCCTGATTTGAAACAAAACATAAATTTGTTTTCATAAATTCTATCATTTTATAAAGAAAAAAAAATATTCCTAAAACCAATGACACCGTTTTAAGGTGATTGGGAATGTCATAGGGAGCGAGATCAATGTCTACAATCCCATTGTACCTATTGATCTGCAGATGGGGGAATGAAATTGATTTTCTGAGGTAGACAATGCAGGCATATTTCATTCTCCCCCCCATGCAAAGCCATTCCAAGCAGGGGTAGTGGGGGTAATTTGGTCCATTTGGACAGGCTCTGGTCTCCAGCCTCGGCCAATTTTACCGTGTCACATTGGTTGACCCATCCATCATGCTTTTCCTGCCTGTCACACCACCGTGGTACTTACACCGTCACTGGTGTGATACACCCACTCAGTGATGGATAGCAGACAACATACACTATGACAACATAGAGAGATCAGTGTGCTCAGCTCACAGACCTGTTGTTTACCCGCAGCTGGGGAATCGCACCCGGTCAGTTTATTTGATATCTCAGCTGCTGCACGAGCCTCATGAGGACAATATTGTGCAACATGCATCATAAATGTTGTCTCTCGTTTCATCTTCAAGCAACTCTAGCAACAACGGTGCCTATCCAAATGAGTTTAATCTACTGAAGTGACTAATGATATGTTGTACCTCTCTTTTTCTTTGAGTGTTAAGTGCTATGAGCTCTCAGCTCAACAGTTACTGAAATGCTGCTCATCAGACAATCAGTCTCAGATGTGATAAGTGGACGTCCGCATAAATAAACACAACAAAGTCATAAAACCATCAGGGATATCGAGTCTGTTTGTATGAGATCGTATGAAAGTGGCCTTCGAAAACCGGTTTGGAATTTGTCAGCCAGTATTAGCAGTTTTGAATGTTGTTCATGTTCCTGTGATTTCAGTCCAGAAGAAAAGAAACCATGAGCCATGAGGATAGGGCCCAGGGAGTCCAGTGACACCTGTCATGATCCCCACAGTACTATAGTGTCCTGATGCCAACGGGGTACAGCAGGGACATGTGTTCGGCCCCCTTGATGGGCAGCTTGCGGCTTGAGTAGAAGTAGATGATCTCAGGCACGCTGTCGAAGGGGCTGCTGTTCTGGCCCAGGATGTACTTGTTCTCCTTGGTCCGTGACAGCTTCATGTGCATGAAGCCCTGGCTGCTCCTGGACAAAGACAAGAGAGATGGACAAAAAAATAATGGCAAACTGTTAGCGCTATTTGACAGGAAAATAAAAATCTACATAAAAATATTAGAAATACATCAGATACAAATATGGCTTGAAATTACCAAGAAAGGAAGGATGTAAAAAATCCTCAATGGAACTGGCAGATGCTTCTATATTCATATCTAAATTAGCAGTTCCTTTAAAAATGGAGCACTGTTGTGAAAGCCGGATTACCTTTTGATAATGTTGAGGCCACCTGGGGTGTAGACTAAAAAGGAATGATGCTTAAGGTGTTTGGTTGTCAAGCAGCACATAAAGGTGAGGCTAATTAACCCTCTGGATAAATCACCTAGGCTACAGCAATAAAAGCACAGCAAATTAAAAGCCCCCTGTGTGTCAGGAGCTTTTGATCAATATATTTTACAGTCTGGCAGTAATCTGCTTTAAAATAGAAATACACTGTGTTTTTTGTTTTGTTTTTTTAGGGTAGGGATGGGAGCTGGTTTTTATTAAACCAACCGTAGGCCATAAGCAAGGTACATACAGAACAAATGTTTATTATGCTGAAAACAATAAACACCCAAGAGAATCTGTCTTTCTGGAATACATCAACATAAAAGCTCTTTTAACCATCTGCTAATGCAACATAACAGCATGTTTAAGATGATCTGCAATGTTATTTCCACTTCAAGGAGCTCCCACCTGCTAAGCCTTCTTTAATCTCTGAAATGTAAGTTCTGGATTTAAAATATATACACTGCTCAAAAATAAATGAAATATCCTTATTGAATAATTTGTTTAGTACAAAGCTGGCTGTGCTTACAACAAAATCCCCCCAAAATTCTCAATGGACTTCAAATTTATTAACAAATGGAGGCCCGGATTTGGAGTCACACACAAAATTAATGTGGAAAACACGCTACAGGCTGCTCTTATTTCCATAAAACAGGCCAAAACTAGGCTCAGTATTGTGTCTGACTTCCACATACATGTATGACATCCCTACAATGCCTGTGCATGCTCCTGATGAGGTGGCAGATGGTCTCCTGAGGGATCTCCTCCCAGACCTGGAGTAAAGCATCCGACAACCCCTAAACAGCCTGTGGTGCAATGCCAACTTGGTGGATGGATTGAGACATGATGTCCCAGATATGCTCAATCAGATTCAGATCAGGAACTGCATTGCAGGAACTGCTGACACACTCCAGCTACACAAGGTCCAGCATAGTCCTGTATTGGATGAACCTAGGGCCAATCACACCAGCCTATGTTCCCATAAGGGGTCTCAGGATCTCATTTCGGGACCTAATGGTAGTCATTCGACATCTGGTGAGCACATGGAGGGCTTTGTGGCCCTCCAAAGAGGACCCACTGCCAAACTGGTCATACTGAAGGTTGTTGCAGGCAGCAGATCACTCTCTATGGTGTCTCCAGAGTGTTACATCTGTCACATGTGCTCAGTGTTAACCTACTATCATCTTTGAAGTGCACAGGGCGCCAGTGGTGAATTTACCAATCCTGGTGTTCTCTGGCAAATGCCAGGTGTCCTGCACGGTGTTGAGCTATACGCAACCTCATACCATCCTCATGGAGTCTGGTTCTAACAGTTTGTGCAGACACATGCATCTAGTTGTGGCCGACAGTAGGTCATTTTGCAGGACGCTGGCAGTGCCCCTCCTGTTCCTCCTTGCATAAAGGTGGAGGTAGCAGTCCTGCTGCTGTGTTTTTGCCCTCCTACAGCCTCCATCACATCTCCTGGTGTACTGGCCTGTCTCCTGGTAGCGCCTCCAGCCTAGGGCTGGGTATTGTTAAAAAAATTTCGGTTCCGGTACCAATACCGATACCTTCACTTCGATACCGGTTCCTGAACGATACTTTTTTCGATACCAGTTTTATAATATCAATTCGAAAAAAAAGAAAATTACACAACATAAAAAAGTACAAATCTTGAGTTTTATTTTAAGCTCTGTTTTTCCATTTACATTTTTCCTCTTACATAAAAAAATAAATAATTCAGTGTCTAATATTCACTGTTACATTGTGAGGACCTTTTTACTTAGCAGTTTTCCTTTAGAAAAATTACCATGTCTGACAAACAAGCCCGTTGAATGGGATCCTACTGACAGCGCACCGCTGGTATGGGGGGGGTCTGAGCGGCTCCCACAGAAATAATATTGGAAGGCAGGATGAACTGACTGCACTGATTACGTTTTCAGGTGGATTTTCCCACTTAAAAACATAATAAAACTACTTTATTCCCACTGATCACAGCAAATATAGCTGCAAGGCAAATAAAGGATAGAGTAGCTCCGCCCAACGCGCGTCTGACCCACTTTGCGACCGCGCAGCCAGAGCAGCAAAGCTTCTTCAGCAGCGCGTCAGAAGCTGGTACAAGCAGCAAAAATGAAGCAGCAGACGAGATTTTGCTGCTCCTGCTGCATCCAGTTTGAAAGCAGCATGATTCACTCCGCTCTGGCTTTGCTCTGCCCACGGGCTGCTGAGAGGAGGATGGTCGCGCTGGCTGCGGTCCGCTCTTCTTGCAGTCAAACACAGAGCGACTTTCTGCTCTTAAATTATTTCCGTGCACGATGTATTGCATTGTGCACTATTAGCATCAGTCTTAATAAAGTGAAGCCGCACTTTTGACCTGGGGGGCATTTTAAAGGGGTTCCGCGACGCTGCAACCAGTTCACAAAAGATACACATGAACCCTGGCTGTAGGCGTGACCACCTGTGTATTTTTCCTGGATGACGCAATCACCTTAAGTGTTCCAGCCAATCACCGAAACTTGGTACCGAAAGACGAGGCATGTTTCGATACTCTGTAGAACCGAAGCATTTCGGTCGGTACCATAAAAGTACCGAAGTTCGGTACCCAGCCCTACTCCAGCCTCTGGACACTACGTTGACAGACACAGCAAACCTTCTTGCCACAGCTTGCATTGATGTTCCATCCTAGATGAGCTGCACTACATAAGCTAATTGTGTGGGTTGTAGGTTTGGTTGTAGGTTCTCAGCTCTGGCAAGCCATATTTTCATTATTAAAGATAAAAAGGGATTTAAATGGCCAAATTAAACTATTAAAGCCTCTTCTGACCCCTGAAGGAGAAAACAAAAATCACTCCAGAAAAAAAACTTTTTGGGCTTAATACACAGAAATAACAAAATATCTCCCAGAGATGCTAATAACAGACTTCCTTTACATAGAGTCATATTTCAAGAGTTTTCCATCATTCTTTGGCATTTTTTTCATTTGTAAATACAAGATATTAAGATCGAAGCTGAAAGAAAATACTGGATACATACTGAATGGAGTAATTGATAAATAGATGAATAAACTGACGGGTGGAGATGGCTGGACAGATAGTAGGTAATCTGTTGGATCCATAGTTGAAGGACAGGTTAAAAATGAAAAAGAAAGGAGATGCATAGATGACAGACATAAATGATGCCTGTATCAATGGGTAGACAGCTGAATGAAAGGAGAGATCTATGGAAATACGTGGACAGATTGATAGAAGCTGACAGAGCAAGTGATATTTGTATGGACTGATGACTGGGTTAACTTCATATCGGTATCTTATGCAATGCTGATCTAAACTTGGATAATTCTTAATTAAAATGTCATTTTTTTTATCTTTACATGAATTATAGTAATTATTGATAGCAAAACTAAGACCTAATCGTGTTTTTATTTAACCCATGGAGGTTTTCCAACAAAAGAAATGATGATTTTATGCATATTTAAAAAAAAGACTAATATGTTGGAGCAACTGATACATTTAAGTCACTATTATTTTTTCTTTATGCTTTAAGACGGACTGTAAACATGCAAAACAGAAAGTTGTCAGTGATAATTTTCCGATATATGATCCATTTTAAAAAGGAGGCACGAAAATGTCCCTGATTTGGTTATATAAATGTAAAAAAAAAAAAAAAAAAAAAGAATACAAAAAAATAATAACCAAGCTTGTTGATGAGTTTTATAATTTTTCTTAATTCCTTATAAAAGACACACAAAATACACATTTGCAACCATGAGCCAATATACCCTGAATGGTATCTATGATAAACAGACGCACAAATACAGCTTTAGGCACCTTGTTTGCAAGCCTGTTTTTAACATATCCTGTAATAGCATGTTAAAGGCTGCTGGTGGTGTTCCTTCTCTCTCTCTGCTTGTAGGTAAACAAACCCAGAAAAAAAACTAAAGGGTTCAATTAAAGGACAACCATTAAGAATGAATAAAAGAGAATACATAAACATGGATTTAAAGGAAAGAGGGTAAGCCAGCTTTTAAGAATTCAGACACTGTCAATTCAGAGATTACAGGGAATACATCAAGCTTTAAGTCTCTAGCTCTTTGCATGAAGTCTAATGGGAAGACAGTTAAAGTATTTTAAAGGGAGAAGCATTTACAGAAAAAAAATAAGTTAGAAATGCATGTTTGCTAAGTTACAATAAAACTGAGACTGCTTCATTATTGCTCTGTTTTGGATCATTAAAAATTTAATCACAATTTGAGAGGAATGGGAGATATGAACTTTGAATTTTCATTACTCTGTAAGCAGTGCCATCACAGCTTGTTGGAAAAAAAAATCTGATCTGTAAATTTGTTTGATGAATCTTCAGTGTAAGCACTGAGCTGGTAGGAGGGTGTTTAGTTACTCAGAGCTACTCTTATGAAGGCAAACACATCAATAGCAGCATTTTTAGATTCCCAGCTGGTTTCCCAGTTAGTGTTCAGGGCTCCTTATCGTGTTACAGTCCAGCAGATACAGAAACCAGCACAACAGAGAGGCGAAACACAGGAGTGTTGCTGATAAAATGAATGTGGGGCTGTTTTTAGAGCTGACAGGCCTTTGTAGCGTTATCATATCCCTGTGTTTGTGGACCCTCTATTTGTGTAATCAGGATGAATCTCACCGGGGAGGTCTGCTGTCGTGTTTATTGAGGTTTATGACTTTGATTTGAACCGAGAGGCACTCATAGCAGGG